TTGCCAGTGCAACTTCAATGGTTTATATCTTAGTTATAAGTTTGCAAAAATTATAAATTTTGATTTTAATAAAGTAGACACTGAGGCAAAATCCAATAAAATTTATATTACTATTTTTTTCGTTAAGTATATTTCACGAAATGCATTTAAAGCTGAGTATGTGAATAATGTACATTATTGAAGTGTTGTGATTATAATAATAATAATTAATAAGTAAAAATAAAAAGCAAAAGAAGTATGAGATAAGTAGTACTCATAAGATTCTAAATAAGGTGAGCTAAGGAGGGCTCTAATAGGTAGTTTTTGAAAAATAATTACCTTTTTCTAAAATTAGATTTTTATTTTCATCAAAGCTATATGGCCTATATCTAAGAAAAAGATCAACATTTAATTATTCTTCTTTCTTTAAGTGCATCTGTTTGATTGGCACATAATTTTAGATTTTTGCGTTGAGTTTGTTAAAACAATACGGAGTATGTAAGAGGGATTTATTGCGAAATTAAAGTTATAGAATAGAGAAAGTGGGCGAATAGTTTAGTTAAAACCGAGGAATGTGAGTAGACAAAAAAAAAGGAAAAAAAAAGTAAGAGTTAAGACCAAGAGATAAGAGAGGTACCAAAAAATAAACAACATTTAGAATTGCTACATAAAAAATGATCATTTAGAAAGTGTTGCACTTACAAAAATGGATGTTTTCAAGTGAATGTAGAAGTGCGAAGTAGAGACATTTACAAACTGCACTGAATGCGCCTCACGCGTTAGTTTGAAAACCCCAAAACCGTGTATCAAGCCCCTGGTTTTCAAAAATACCACCTTTCCATTTTAAAGCAGAATTTTGACGGTCCGCTGGCGATTTAAGTGGATTGGCTTGCTCCTCGATTGCCGGTGAACCCTGTAATACCCCGAATTTTGGGAAAATATTTTAATAATTTCTTGAATTATTTAATTTGGAGCCAAAATGAATTTTAAATTTTGGCGCCAAATATAAGCATTTAATCATTTGAAAATTTTCGGATTTTTAAATTAATAATATTGGTTTAATTATCTTTTAAAGGTCCGTCCATATTTTATTCAATACGTATGTTGTTATCTTAGAAATTTCAAGAGTTTTAAAGATAATACCTAATATACATTATGATTTACAACAAATTTTAGTTTTGATATTATCTAAAATATTTATATATTTGTATAATAACTTGATTTAATTATCAAATTCAATTATTTTATTCATTTAAATATGATCTTCGTTTTTTATAGAAAAAAAAAATCAATAGCTGGCCGAAAACTTGAAAAAAAAATAAAATTATTATTGTTATTCTTTACTTAACCATTAAACCCTCTTCATCATCTTATTTTTTTATTCCTATCTTCCTTCTTCCAATCCTCCAATCAAATGAACTTTTATCTAATTTCTACTCATCTTTTATACCCAACTATTAATCTAGGCTTAATCTGGTTCAAGTACTTTAACAAACCCCAAAACTATCATGTTTTCTAGTAATCATATCATACATTAATCTCTATCCCTTCCACACTCTAAACACTATAAATAGACCCTTAATCCTCCTCAATTACTCACACCAAAAATCAGAAATTTCTCATCTTATTCACTCACTAATACACGCCCTTTTCTTTTCCTCTTCCTTCACTTCTTGCTCCTTCTTTCCTCCTTGCCGCCACCAAACAAACACCTCTGCCGCCACCTGCTGCCACCATCCCTGACGCAAGCAACCACCCAACTGCCACCACCAATGCGCCGTGAGCTGCTGCCAGAAGGTGCGAACAACACCTTCTTTCTTTCACCTTTGCCGCGCCTAGTTGAAAAAAAAAAAAAAACTTCTCTTTACTCTTATTAATAATATTATGATTATTTATATTAATTTTCGGTACTAACAACACTATTATGATACTAAGATTGTTATTTTGATACTAAAATATACAATTTGCTATTTAAAAATAAACAAGACTTGATTTTATAAAGGTTAATATTAGGTGGTTCATGCACTAGTAGAGTATTATTTATAGTTTGGGTTTATTTTGTGAACCTTATATTAATTAAGGTCATTTTATTGTGTAGGAGGATTCCCTTGATCGTGGTCAAGTGTAGTAGTCGTACCGTAATTGTTCTCGTGATCAAGGTACGTATAGATGGCTAGACCTTTGATAAAGGTTTTTCTATATATGTATATGTTTGATTCATTGTTTGTTTGAATGTTTGAATACATTGTTTAAAGGATTGATCTTGAAATTATGTTTGAATTAAATTGAATTTATTTATGATTAAGGGAATTGAATTAAATTTGCAGCTCATTATGGGCATGAGTATTTAATATTTATTGTCCCTCTACCCGGGACTGGTTAAGTAAGACCATGAACTTTGTATGATCTGGTCTTTCCTCGAGAATAGTCTTACTTGCTTGGGGGGTGTGCACACTTAGGAGATGAATTTATTTTTTGGAAAGTTCTATCTTTAAATATTTCTTTGTTGGAAGCCTATATTTAGAAAGTCTAATTTTGGAAAGTGATGAATTTTGGAAAAGTCATATTTTAGCGTTTGAATTGTAGTGTAACTATTTTGAAAGCATGTTTGTCTAATAAAAGCATTTACATGCCTTGCACTTATATGTACTTGGCGTTTTTGCTAATCCGTTTTCCTTTTTGTTTTTGGTTCGCCCTGTTTACCATTATTGGTAAGCAGTCTTGATTTCAAGTGTGGAATTGATCGTGCGCATACTTGAGTCGGAATCGGGATCACTTAGTTAGGAATTTATTCATTCACGAGTCAGACAAGTTTTATTTGGAGTATTTTCAAACTATATAATATGATTATTATATTATTAATAAAGTCATTTATTTTTCCACTGCCATAATTAGTAGTTAATAAGCCTTACGTTTTCACGTGGCGGTAATACGCCAAAGTCTATCTTTACAGTATTTTATACGTATAATTATAGTATCTACGTAGAGGGAGATTTGGGGGTGTTGCAAACCCCCCTCCTGTCAAGCCACAACCAAAGGGCCACCGGTGGCTGTAATTCAAATCGATGCACCTAGCCGCAAGCTGGTTTTTCGATCTAGTGGTGTCGAGTGGTCTTAGAGGACAATTGTGGCCCGCTACCTCTATTAGACCTAGACTCAAGTTGAGTTCGCTGCGAGTTTGAGCTCCGATCTCCGATCGTGAGGCCGCCCTCTCATCTCTCTAGCTCTGTTAATAATAATAAAAAAAAACCACTACTAGAAAACAACCAATCAACGACGGAAAAAATCCCTCGGAAAACCCTAAAATTCCGTCGGAAATGCCCATTTTCGACGAAATTCCGTCGGAAGGCACTGTCGCATTACAGTTTGTAGGAATTTCGCGATATTCCGAGGGAAATTCCGTCGGAAGGGTCCATTCCGACGGAATTTCCGACGGATTTTGCTCTGTCGGAGTCAAGATTGACTTAACTGGGAAGCCCGTCACAACATTCCGACGGACTGAATTCCGACGTTGTTATACTCTTCCGACGGAATATTCCGTCGGAAACAACTAATTTTCCGGTGGAATTTCCGTCGGAAAATTTAATAAAATAAAATAAAATAAAAACGCCTCCACCACCCCCACCACCAGCCCCCCTACCACCTAACCCACCTCACCAGACCCACCCACCTACCACCTCACCAGACCTGATCGAAACCCACCTCCCCACCTCACCAGACCCACCCACCCACCCACCTCACCGAAACCCACCTCCCACCTCCCACCTACCACCTTAACCCACCTCCCCACCTCCTCACCTCACCGAAACCACCCAAAACAACACCGAAACCCACCTCACCACCACCGAAATCCACCTCACCACCCAAAACAACCACCGAAACCACCCAAAAAAAATCAAAAAAATCCATAATTCACCCACACCATATATTTCAAAAAAATCAGAAAAATCAACAAGTTAATTAAAATCAAAATTAAGAAGAAAAAAAGAGACACATACCTTAATTTGATAAAAAAAAAAAAAAACTTCAAAATTGGGATTATATGGTTAAATTCGAACAAAAGAACTCCAGATCTGGAATTTTTATGGTCGAATTTAACCATAAACACCATAATTATTTGTTTTTTGACGACCACCAGCCGCACATAATCCATTCCTTGTCGAAATTTCAAGGAAAAACAATGAAAAAGAAAAGGAGAACGAAGGAGAAACCGGAAACAGAGAAGGAAAAGAGGAAAGAGAAAAAGGGAAGGAAAAGAGGAACGAAGGAAAAGAAAAACGAAAGAGGAACAGGAAAGAGAAGGAGAACGAAGGAGAAAGAACAGGAGAAAGAAAGAGAAGGAGAAGGAGAAGAGGAGAGAGAAAGAGAAGGAGAATAAGAAAAAGAAAGAGGCGGGTAGCAGGGTAAGGGGGTATCCGTTTTATGGGCTAGGGTTTGGTGAAAAAAAATTATTTTTTTTAATAAATTTCCGACGGAAAATTCCGTAGGAAATTTCCGTCGAAAATTCCGTAGGAAGTTTAATGTTCCGACGGAATATTCTTCCGACGGATTTTATTTCCGTTGGAAGATTAATGTTCCGACGGAATATTCCGTCGGAAAGCTTATATTTTCCTACGGATTTATTTTCCGTCGGAAATTTTCTACGGAATAATAATCCGTCGGAATTTCTGTTTTTTCCGACGGAAATACGTGTCCGTCGGAAGATGTCCTTTTCGACGGAAATACGTGTCCGACGGAAGATGTCCGTCGGAAATCGGCCTATTTCTAGTAGTGAACACCTTTGTGTTTTGGTGGTTTCAAGATTCAAACCGTTGCTTAGTTTGGGTTGCTCTAAGCTTTTCTCGCGGACGAGGTCGCGAATGGTAGTACTCCGGCCATCGATGTCATGTTTTTTTAGTTTGGTGTTTTCCTGGCCTACTTTTTCTAGTTATTTGTTAAGCAAGGGTTTCGTTTATTTCCTCTTAGATCAATCCTCCTTCTTTTTCTATGTGGTAAATGGCCATAAATTACATAATGCCCTTATGCTTATTCATTTAAATGGTGATTATGATGAATGTATTGTTACCTTTGCTACTAATAATTTCCCCCGAAAAATTTATAATCAAGCCAAGGTCTTGAAAGAGGAGGGTAATATCTGCTTTAAGGAAGGTGACTTTATTGGTGCTGGGGCTAAGTATGATAGAAGGCTGAAATTTCTATGTTTTGGCTTACCAAGAAATGGGGATGATAATGTTATACTATGGAATCTTGCTATTGCTATAGAATTAAATCTTGCAGCTTATGCTCTAAAGGTCTGTGATTTTGTTCAAACTAAGGAGCTTTGCTCCTTAGTCATCATGCTTGATAGTAGCAACGTCAAATCTCTTTATAGAAGAGCCTTAGTTAAAATCAGGTTATACCAACTGGAAGAGGCTGTTGAGGATCTTGGCAAGGCAGTTAGGGTTGAGCCTAACAACCAGGACATTCTTCGTGAGTTGGAGAAAGTAAAGGCCTAATTTGCAAGTCTAGCAAGCTCAATGGAAAGAGGAGTACGGAGGAGTCAATTATAACTTAATCCAACTACAATAAAAAGGGGAAAATCAATGAATCGTCAGCTAGCCTAGTGGGTAACCGACCATCTTGCACTGACGAGCAGAGTGGTGTTACAAGCTCGCATGTCACTGATGTTGCTAGTGATATGGCAGTAGAGAGCACTATTCCTACTTACAATGCTTATGCTTCTTTGGAAACTAAGGATGAAGGATCAAGCAACACTCTTGACAATCAGCAATCAAGACATGCCAAGGATAAGGGATAGGGAAAACCCATGTTTTCTCCAATAGAATGCGTAGAAGTCGGTCCCTAAAGATCTCTATAGACACCTAAAAATGTCTCCCCAAAACCAAACCCGATGATGAACAACCTTTCACCGCCATTATTGGTCGGGTCGAGTATTTAATCTTGGGAATGCTTGAAGCCCACATTCAGTCAAACATAGCCTGCAAATCAGTCAACACATCAGTCCAAATGTTTATTCAAACTCAGTCCAATCCACATTTCAGCCCAAACCCTTTTTAATTCATTTCGTGTTATTTATTAAGCCCGATTAATAAATAAAAAAATCCTAAGCCTGAAATAATTCCGGAATAGCTGAAACAGCGCCTAAATATCACGTACTTAATGATTAAGAAATAGGGGTAAAATGAATTTGGACGGAAATCTGGAAAACAGATTTGCCGTGTCACGACAGAAATGCTGCGCAACGGCAAATCCTGCCGTGTCACGACAAAGTGCGCCGTTTCGCGGCAAATCCTGCCGTGACGCGGCAATTTCTAGGATTCTCTCCACGGCGAATTTTATTTTTAAGGTTTCATGCATCACCCTGTTCATTTTCCTTTATAAATACGAGGCTGATTTCTCAGTTTCGGGGCACCAAATTATTCTCTCTTCTCTCTCTTATGCTCTAGCCTAAACACTAGCCTTCCCTATTCTTCAGCAATACATCCCTTAAGTACTTTTCGGAGTCCATACAACACCTAAAAGTTCCATACTTAAACTAAGGCGTGAAAGATAGAACCGATTGAGGGTTTGGACCAAATCAACTACACTTTTATTTAATTTAATTTCAATTTTGATTTATTATTTTTTGAAGTTACTAACAATTTATTCATGATGTAGCAATTTAAAGAAGTGCGCGGAACGTGAGTAATTAATTAATTTAATTACTTATTTTATTTTATATTTCTAGTATCATGATTAGGGTTATTATCCTTTGATTTTGACTAATGTTATTATGGCTAAATGCTCCCAATGTTAATGATGATTTTATTATTGTAATGATCACCATATTGCGTGTTTAAAGGGAATATGTAATTGAATATAACGCCTAAGAAGATAATTTGGACGACCGGTTTAGCTTCCTTTTTAATCTTGTTGTTTAATCAAGTGATCACTAATATTTTTGAATTATATGTTGCATTAACATTCAACCAATTTAGCCAAATATAGTTTGGAGCAAATTGAATCTTTGTTTGTATGCCTTTGAGATCGCAGGAAATACTTTTCACAATAAGAATCGAGTAGAGGCCAATACGGGCGAATGTGACTCCATGACTCACTTCGTACCATCATCCCCGATCCTCCTTTCGTGGTTCCGAACCATATGGAGTTAGTAATCTCATGGATTATGAGTGGGTGTAACCTTCACGGGTCAATCGTTGTTCCCTATCGTTGTCCCTTTATCGTGGTTGCCTTATAATGATCCGTGGACTGTTAACAAGTTCCTTAAAAACTTGTTGGCGGCTCCCTGCTTTTATTTGTCCCTAATCATTGTCCCTAATCGTATATGTCGATTCCCACTTCGTATGAGTGCCAAGCATATTCACAACGTGCTTATCGTAGGTACGCTTTGAATGAACCTACAATCTCTGATTTGTCTTTCTCGAAACTCTCGCAAGGGAAGACTTTGAGTCTCTTCAACAGTTCTGCTAACTCATGGATGACTGTACGGATGAAGGACAGGACTACACAGGATAGGCATTCTGAAATTTACAAGGCAAAGGGCCCTAAAAGTCTAAAAACCTTGTCCATGCCTACTAGGAAGGTGATTCCAGTTAGGAGGAGACGCGACAAAAAGACCCGTAAGGAAAAGGTCAAGATCTCTCCTAATTATGAAGCGGTCAACCATATTGATGGGTGTGGAAAGCCCAGCACTACTGCGATCGATAAGAAAGACATCCTATTTCTCCATGTCTAGCTGACAATTGTGATGAAGGTTCAAGTATAGAGGAGGGGAGTGAAGTTTCTACGAGAGAATCTCTTATCACTGGCATTGCTGAAGTGGAATCCGTAGGCTCTAATGAAGATGACCCTATAGCATTGGTTTCCTCTGAATACCTTGCATATTTCTTTCTATTGGTATTTGGTTGAGATTTTCTCATCTCATAAAGGATATATTCAATCTAAGAGTTATAATCTTTCCACTTTTTGTTTGCTCACTATGGCCTATGAGGATTGGGAAACCACTTTTTTCAGCAACTCTGTAGGGGATTGAGAACATTTTTAATAGTTTATTGTACGAAGTATAAGTACAAGTGAAGAAGGGATAAAGATGAGTGTGATGAAAGTAAAGGGTTAAGTGAGCTGCAAGTTGTTTTGCCTTAATATAAATGTTGGCAGACAAGTGAAGAATTGGTGCTTATAGTCATCTCTCATCTCATAATAAAACAAATGAACAAGAACTATCTTTAGTGACACATTTTGGGATAAATTTGTTGCAACACTTTTGCATATTTGTATAGAAAGGTAGCAATATATCATCTATTTAATATCTTGTATTATTGAGCATTGACAAAATGTTAGTGATAATAGTGTTCATAAATTATTGAGTATTGACAAAATTAGATAATGTTCATAAATTATTTGAGACAAAGGAAGACATGAAGTTGATAGACGTGTCGCGTACCTAACAAAAATAACCTAACTAGACCACTACTATGTAGACGGGCAAGTAAGGATCGAATCCCAAGAGACTAAGGTTCACCTAAATTATCTAGACTCAAATAATTACTAAGCAAGAATCAAATCAATGGTGGAATAAACTAGGAACTAATGTATGGAAAACTAGAATAAATCAAAAGAATATAACGAATCAATAAGCTAAAACATCCAAGATCAAGTATCACCACAATTACGATCGATGCAATTATATATCTACCCCTAACATACAATTCCAATTAACATGGGGAAAAGTAAACCCTAATCAATACCAAGGACCTCTCTCGAGTATCAATGGCTTCCCTAACATACAATCAAGCCTATTCTCATGGAATCATGCAAATTAGAGACATTAAACACTTTACTTCACTTCCCAATTATCAATTCAACTACTCTCGTGATGAATTTCAAACCCTAAATTAATCTACCCAATTCCGTTAAAATCCAACTCTCGTTGTGATTAAAACAATGGAATAATAACAATACTAATTATCTCTAATCTAGTATTGGCATAATCACAATCAATTTAGCATAAACAATTGCAATAGTTATTAGAGAATTTAAAGAATTAAAACATGCATCAATCATAATTGGGCTACCCTAGATCTTGGAATATAAAAACTACTCACACATATTAAAATAAACAATAACAAAAATAATCAAGGAAAGCATAATTAAGAAATAAGTGATGAAAAGAAAATACCAAATCTTGAATTAATTGGAGATAGCCAAAGTAGAACTTGAATCTTGAATTACAAAAGCAATGTAAAAAATAATAGAGAAAACTAGGTCTAATAATGAAAATACTAGATAGTGAAATATAAAAAAGTCTAGGGTATTTATACTCCCAACAAAAAGATAAGAAAACATAAGAAAGTGCAGCGCGTAATCTTCCTAAGAGGCACGGACGTGCCTATATTGGGCACGGACGTGCCTCATATCGAGTGCAATTCTTCATGTCTTCTGGAATCCAGGCACGGATGTGCCTATATTGGGCACGGACGTGCCTCATATGAAAGTGGAATGTAGCAGCAGGCACGGACGTGCCTCTATGAGACACGGACGTGCCTCATATCGAACACAACTTCTTCAACTTCTGAGATTCAGGCACGGACGTACCTCGGCTGGGCATGGGCGTGCCTCACTCCAAAAGGGCTCAAATGACTCGTTCTTCAACCAACGAGCTTCGTGAAGGTCCGTGGGCCCCGGTTTAGTCTCATGACTTCATAAAATCTCCAAATTAGCTCCATTAATCTTGAAATACATCAAAAACAACGAAACTACCCATAAAAGCATCGAGTCATCGAAACTAAGCCAAAATAAGCCAAAATGAACTAAAATACTAGACTAAACTAATAATAACAACTAAAAAGAGGCTAACAATTATGCAAAAAACACGGCTTATCAAACTCCCCCAAGCTAAACTAATGCTTGTCCTCAAGCATTTGACCATGAATCACAAAGGAGGAATAAGACAACTTCTCAAATCATCATAATGTGCCATCATTTAAAATCAAGAGGAAAGCAAAAATTAGAATCAATGTGCATAAAACCACCATAGACCTCTCATACTTGGAATCGACAAACGTCTTACCACACATCTCCCCATACTAACTCACACAAACATGAATAGCTCTCACTTTAGTTGTGAAAACAAAAACAATAAACGCTCATGTGTTTACGGGGTGAAATATCAGATCACTCAACCTAGGCATAGAATGCATGTAAACTTCACATGAATTGTCCTCTTTAGACTTGCAATGTGACTTTCTCCACTTTTAAAGGTTGATGCAATTGCGAAAATCATGAAATCCAAAAAGGGTAAGCTTGGTTAATAAAGGGTTGGACGACGTTATTTGGGAATGTGGTGCTCAAAAGTATAACTAATCCTAATCCCACTACACATCCAAATATCGGGTTCAAACCAACCTTATTTCCTCCAACTTCATACAATATAAGCATAGCCCTTTTCCTAATCATTTTTTATAACTTGTAAAACGAAGGAATTTGTAACATTTTGACGAATTGGGAAGAATTTTAGAACTCCTCTTTGTTTTGAGGTATGGATATACGGAATTTTAAAACTTTTTCTTCTTCCTTTTCTTTCTTTTCCTTCTTTTCTGTTTTTTTTTTTCCTTTTTCTGTTTTTTTTCTCAATAATACTCAACTTCTTTTTTTTTCTTTTTTTTTTCCTTCTCTTTTTTCTTTTCTTTTTTTTTTTTCTTTCAAAAGTCACTTATAGGGCTTAAGCGAGTGTAATGCTCCTTCAAAAGAAACCTAAAAAAAACGGCTTTATAGCTTTAAATGTAAGGTATCAAGAAA